GCGCGTCTTGTCGGACGCGTCCTCGAGGGTTGCTAGCGAGCCAGCCTGCTAGTAAATAAACAAAGTGCATTCGAAAATCCAAATCCAAATCGCAAACATAGAAACCCAAACACACACAGCCACGTGGCATAGGAGAGCAGGAGGTGAAAGGAGGTCAGCAAATAAAAATACGGTGCAACCGGGTAGCGGGGGGCTATAAAAACGGACACCTCTCTACTGTGAGGTGGGTAAAAAGGAACAGGTCCCCGCCCTTGCGATCTTTGTGCAGGGTTCTTTGTGGGTGTGGTCGGCGACTAGCCGGGGTCGTCCTCCCGATGGGGGACTAGCACTAGCCGTTGTGGGGGAGAAGCCAGCACAATTTTACTTGCGGTTGCGCCCCGCGCCCCGGCCACTGGGGGACCCACGAGAGACGGCCGCGCGGAATACCCAAGGGTGAACTGGCTACTGCACCCGAAACGAAGACGTGGAAATCTATAGCGAGAGGAGTGTAGAGTCTGGAGTGGTAGAGCTCGACGGTCTGAAGGTTACCAGTATCTGATAGTGGCCTTGCCAATCTTGCAAAACAAAATCTCCCAATCTTGCCGCGGAGTGTCGCACCGGTGACGTCTGAGTAGGCCGCAGCGAAAAGGAGGAGAAGGCCCATGTAGACAGTGTGTAGCTGCACAATGGCGCGCTGGAGCGGGGGGGGGTCATCGGGGAAGTAGGCCGCACTCAGCAGGCGGTCGGCTCCTTTGCCAGCAAGGCTCCGGCCACCCGACGTGGCCTCGCGAAGGTGGCCTCGCGGAGACACCACTGAGAATGCCTCCAGTGCCGCGATCCGGTGCTCGAGCACCTCGACCGAGTGCTGCTGCGGGTCCGCGAGGAGCGAGCGCGCCGCGGGGAGGAGTGCGAGCGCCTCCTCTGCCGAGGCGGCGCTGAGGCAAAGCTGGGAGTCGCGCACAGCGCGCCACAGCGGCCCCTCCACCGGGGGCTCGCCGCCCCCCCCCGCGTCGAGGAAGCTGAGCGCATCCTCCACGGTCTCCGCATCCCGTGGAAAGCATCCGGCTGCAAGGCCTTGCAGTGTCTGCACACCGCTCAGCCGCTTGAGTAGGACCCCAGTCTCACGCAGCAGCCGCTCCATCGCCTCTCTGCTGCTGCCGCATTCGCTGATAAGCAGGCGCAGCCGCGCCGCGGTCAGGGAGGTGTAGAGGAAGAATAGGCGTACGATGGCGCGCCGCAGCGCCGGCGAGTCCTTCGCGAAGGCATCGGCGCGCAGCAGAGAATTCAAGAGGCCGCCGCGGGGAAGGCTGGTGCAAGTGAGCGCGGCGATCGCGGCGTTGTAGTCGGCCAGCGTCGGCTGCGGCGCCGCCGCGTCGCCCGTCGCCGCCGCGCCGCCCGCCGCCGCCGCGCCGCCCGCCGACGCGCTGCCCGCCGCCGCCGCGCCGCCACCCGCCGAGCCGGCCGCCGCGCCGCCACCCGCCGAGCCGGCCGCCGCGGCCGCTGCGCCGCCCGACGCACCCGCGGCGGCGGCGGCGGACGCGTCCAGCACCGCCTGCGCCGGCCCGAGCCGCTGGAGTATTTCCCACTCCGGGTCCTGCGAGGCGAAGCGGCTCTGGAGCGAAGCGAACTTCGGGTGCGCCTCGATATCCGCGGGCGTGGCATTTTTGTGCATGACGAAGTGGTTAGGTTGAGTGCCAACTACGACCTTTGTCGGGTACCTCCTGAAAGGTACCTTGCCGATGTATGAGACTTTGTGCCGCGCCATTTTTAGGAGGCGCGAAGAGGCGCGAAAGAATTTAAACAGCACAACTTGCTCTCACAGCCTGACCGTTCGGTGAGAAAGATGATGGAGAGACAGGATAGGGAGCGACAGGAGGGGAGCCTCGGGGAGGATGAGACGTTGTTCCCAGAGGGGGCGCCCCAGAGACACATAAACTGGCAGAAAGAAGACCACGAGCTCTCCATCCGGCCGGTGACGTCTGAGCGGCCTGCTTGGTGATCATGCGGCGCGGCTAGCTTTGATGGGCGTCTGCGATCGCCCGGTAGGCGGCCACGATGCTCGCGAGCGAGTGGTTTGCCGTGACCTGCCTCCGCCACGTGGGCGCCTTGCAGAGCGGGCAGCACATCTGCGACATGATGCGGAAGCAATCGGTGATGCAGGCGAGGCAAAAGTTGTGGCCGCACGGCAGGAAGGTCGGCTCGTCGAAGATGTCCATACAGACGGTGCAGCGGAGCTCGGCGGCGAGGGCTTCGATGCTCTTCGGCGCGAGCTGCGTCGGCGGCTGCGAGAGGGCGACGGCGTC